TTTTTTTTTTTTTTTTTTTGGTATTTAAGTATGGCAAGCTTACACATTATGTTACAATATGAATAGAACTAACGAGCTTTTTCAGACTTAACCAAATACTTCATCTCGTTATTCCATGCTTGAATGATGAGTAATTTCCAGTGCTAAAGGTTAAGAGTTGTACATGGTATTAGTTTGTCCATTCCTTGTCTAACAATATTAATCAATCTGTTGCAATAGGTTGGGGTAACAGGATACTGCATGGGTGGTGCCCTCGCCATCGCAAGTTCTGTTTTGGTCATTGGTGTTGATGCTGTTGTAGCCTTCTATGGAGTTCCTCCATCAGAGCTTGCAGATCCTACCCTAGCAAAGTCCCCTGTACAGGCCCATTTTGGGGAGCTCGATAATGCTGCTGGCTTTTCAGATGTTAAGGTGTGTTCAAATGGTTCTTGTCAAACCTTTAGTTTGATTATTAGCATGCTGTCTTTCATCATAATCAGACATATGGTGAGTCTTATAAAGCCACTCAAGTCCAATCTATTGCCCTTAGGACCCTCTTGACGGCTCATTTGATTGATGATGTTTGTGTTGTTTTCGCCTTTGAGATCCTCTGTATCCAAAATAAATGAAAACTATGTAGGTACACAGTACATAGATAACAAAAACTCCTCGAGTATTTTATAACTGAGTGAAAAACATAAGCACATACCATTCTTCCATTTATTGCGCATTGTCCAATTAATACTGGTGTATATCTTTACACCATTTTCCCTCATCCTGGAAAATATTTCTGTTGTGAAATATTGGTATTAAACATGGCATTGTTGGTGTTCAAAAAATAAAATGTTGTTGCACTTCTGATGCTTTAAAATTTGGAAGGTCATTTGATCATTTCAAACATGGAAGGAAAGAATGCAGATATATAACTATGTCTGTGTGTTTGACTGATTTTGCTATCGAATTTTGGATTTCAGGTTGCTAAAGCTTTAGAACAAAAACTGAAGGCATCAGGAGTTCCTTCTGAGGTATACGTGTATCCAGGGAATGCACATGCCTTTATGAACCAATCTCCTGAAGGTGTGGAGAGGAGAAAAATTATGGGAATGGATGATGGAGATGATGCTGCTGTTGAGCTAGCATGGTCTCGCTTCTGTTCATGGATGAGTCGCTTCTTATCTCCCTAAGCACTTTATTTAATACATTCATCAAACAATAGGTTGATATTGTTAAGAGTATTAGGGTAGTATATGTAAATTGATAATAGTGTTAGGGTATTATGTGTAAATACAAGAGGGTGTGTATGTGTAATTCTTATTATTATGAGTTACCTATAAATATAAGTGATGTATGAGGACTAAGTTAAGTTGTTAACCTCTCTCTTTCTCTCTGATATTGTCTATAATATTATGTTATGTTAATTCACTCAATCTAACATGATATCATAGCACTACGATCTTAAATATATTACCATTGTTGTGGTGGTGTGGCTGTGTTATTGTGGTGGTCTTTGTTCATAGTCGACTGTTGGTGTGGCGGTATGATTGCTCGTGGTGGTGGTGTGATCTCTGTTCATCGTTGAATAGTGTTGTTCGTGGTGGTGGTGTGATTGTGGTGGTGTGCCGCTGGTGTGTGGCGTCGTCGAAGACCAGAGGGTTCTCTGGGAACCCTAATTAACGAAGAACAAGAGATCCAACTCGTGGAGTCGAGTTTGGATCAGATCGGGTCAAGCCCATTGTCTTAAATTATTTTAAGTTCAACCCACGGTCCAAACCAAGACTCGGTCCAACTTAGACCAGTTCGGTCTGGTTCAGAGGTCCAAAGAGTCCAGTCGGTCCAGTTTAGCGGTCCAGAGCGCCTAGCCGGTCCGGTTCTATCTTCCAGCATGTCAAACCGGTTCGGTTTAGTGATCCAACAAGTTAAACCGGTCTGGTTCAGCAGTCTAGGGTATGATTAGTGGGAACAAGAGGATGCTCAGATTATCTCTTTATTGTTGAATAACATTGAGCCTAGTATTAGCTTTTTTCTACTCTATCTTGATACTACCAAAAAGATATGAGATCACTTGGCCACTATGTATTTTGGTACATGTAATTTTATCCGTGCGTATGAGGTGTGCAAGGAGTACTTCCGATTGAAGCAGGGTACTCTAAGTCTTGCGGATTATTACTCTCATGTTCGAGGAGTTTGTGAGGAGATGAGGACCTACCATCCGTTTACTACTGATACAGCAATTTGTCAGAAGCAACATGAGGACCTGAATGTTATTAGGTTTTTGGTATGACTGAAACCTGAATATGAGCCTATTCGTTCTCAGATTTTGGGTGGTTCTAGTTTTCCATCACTGCTTGAGATTTTCTCTCGTTTACAGAGTGCTACATTATCTACTCCTTCAGGCATTGATCATGGTGTCTCCACTGATCGCTCAACTCTTGTGGTTCCTAATAGCCATAGTGATGGACATCGAGGTGGACGTGGTGGTCAAGGAGGTCGTACAGGAGGTCGTAGGGGCCGTAGTGGATCCCGTTCCTGTACTCACTGTGGTCGTGGAGGACACACTGTTGATTTCTGTTGGGATTTACATGGAAAATCTTCTAGTGTTGCTAATCAGGCTGCTTATTAGGATGACACCTCAGTTGTTACTTTCATACCTCGGTCAACTCCACCAGACACTGTGGTCAGTTACTATTACACTGGGTCGAGAGGAGTATGCCTAGTTCTTGTCCCAGCAACAGGCTGTTTCATCTCCCTCCACTATTACTTTTGTCTAGTCAGGCACTACTTCCGCTTGTTTATTGTCCTCTACCCGTAGACCTTGGATCATAGACTCTGGCGCTTCTGACCACGTGACTGGTGTGTTTGATGTTTTTTTTACTTATCAGTCTGTTATTTCCACACGTAGTGTTACTCTTGCTAATGATACTTGTTGTAAAGTTTCAGGTTTGGGAACTACTCACTTGAGTTCTGATATGTCCCTATCATTCGTATTATTTGTTCCTTAGTTTCTTTTTAGTTTACTTTCTATTACTAAGATTACCCGTTCTCTCAATTATTTTATAACCTTTTATCCCTCTTATTGTGTCTTTTAGGATCTCAAGACGAAGAGGAAGATTGGTACATGGCATGAAGTCGATGGCCTATATTACTTTGATTTTGATTCACCTATTCGGGCTCTACAAACCTCGTTGTCTTCTTTTCATTGACATTGTCGTCTTGATCATCCCTCTCTCCAGAATTTGAAGTGTCAAGTTTCCAGTCTTAGTTGTGTGTCGTCTTTATCTTGTGAAGCTTGTCAACTTAGTAAGCATCATCGTGTGTCATTTCAGTCTAGAGTCAATAAACGTGTGTCTAGTCCATTTGAGTTGGTACATCTTGATGTATGGGGTCTAATAAAAAATATTTTATCGGATAAATATCCTTATTTTGTGTCTTTTGTGGATAACTATTATCATGTGACTTGGTTGTTTTTGATGAAAATTCGGTTTAAATTATTCTCTATATTTGAGACCTTTTGTAAGGAAATAAAAACTCAGTATGGTTGTTGTATACGTATTTTATGTTCTGATAATGCTAGAGAATATGAATCTGATCATTTTTCAACTTATCTAAGTAAAACTGACATTATTCATCAAATTTTTTGTGCTTACACATCTCCATAGAACGGTGTTACTGAACGCAAGAACCGTCATTTGTTGAAAGTCACTCGTGCCCTGTTATTTGAGATGAATATTCTCCGATATTTTTGGAGTGATATTGTTCTTACTGCTTGTCACCTTATTAATCATATGTCATCCTCTGTGTTAAATAGGCAAAGTCCACATTTTGTTCTTTTTCTTGGTAAACCCTTGTTTTCCCTAACTCCTAAGGTTTTTGAATGTGTCTGTTATGTTCACAATTTGGGTCTTGATTTTGATAAACTTGATCCTCGAGCTACCAAATATGTATTTCTTGATTATTCTCACACACAGAAGGGGTATCGTTGTTACAGTCTTTATTTGTAAAGATACTTAACTAGTGTCAATGTCACATTTGAGGAATCTTTTCTATATTTTCCAGCACCTTCTCAGCCATTGGATCTAGACTTTGGGTCATCCCTTGCACCGTCATCTCTTCCGTCATCTTCAGATATTCCGCTTCCTACTGTGTTACTGTATACTTTACCTCTTCGTGTATACTTTCGTCGTCCTCGACCATCGACTGAGGTGTCCGAACCGTCTTCTGATCCTGGTCCATCAGGTAATTTGGACTCTTTACCTATTGCTCTTCTAAAATGTACTCGTTCGTGTGTTACTAATCATTCCATTGCTCATTTTATTTCATATGATGTCTTATCTCCTATCTTCTCTTGTTTTACCTCTCAATTATCTACTATATCTCTCCCTAAGCATTTATAGGATGTATCATCTGATCTTGGTTAGAGGAAAGCTATGGAGGATGAGATGGATGTCTTACATCATAATGGGACTTGGAATCTTGTTCCTTTACCCCCTGGTAAACGAACTGTTGGTTGTCATTGAGTGTATACTGTTAAATTTCATCTGGATGATTCTGTGGAGCGTCTCAAAGCTCGACTTGTTGCAAAAGACTTTACTTAGATCTATGGTGTTGATTATGAGGAGACTTTCTTTCCTGTTGCCAAAATTTTCTCTGTTCGTATCTTGATTTCTTTGGCTGCTAATCTTAATTGGCCCTTGTTTTAGTTAGATGTTAAGAATGTCTTCCTACATGATGACTTGGTTGAAAAGGTATACATGGAGCAGCCACCTGGATTTACTGCTCGGGGGGAGTATGATAAGAGTATATGTCGGTTAAAGAAATTTTTGTATGGTTTAGAGTTTGGTCTTCTTCGATGTCAGACAGACCATTCTGTGTCCCATAGACATACGTATGTTGGATATTTTCTATTGGTGGTATATATAGATGATATTGTGATTACTGAAAATGATTCTGAGGGAATTGCCAAGTTAAAAATCTTCTTGCAAGATCGATTTCATACTAAGAATTTGAAAAAACTCAAGTATTTCTTTAGAATTGAAGTGACTCGATCTAAACAGGGTATTTGTTTATCACATAGGAAATATGTACTTGACATGCTAGAGGAAGCAGGTTTGCTGGGTGGCAGATCGATTGATGTTCCTATGGATTCGAATCAAAAATTATTGATGGATGATGGTGCATTGTTTGAGAATTCGGGTCGGTATCGCAGATTGGTTGGAAAGCTTAATTATCTCACTATTACTCGACTAGATATTTTCTATGTAGTCAGTATAGTAAGTCAGTTTATGGGGTGTCCTAGAGTACCACATTGGGAGACAGTTACTCGTATTTTATGATATCTTAAACGAGCTCCTGGACTTGAACTGTTATATCGAACTAATGGATATCTTAGAATAGAAGGTTTCTTAGATGCTGATTAGGCTGATTCTCCATCTGATCGGAGATCAACCAGTGGTTATTATACTTTCTTAGGAGGTAATGTTATCTCATGGAAAAGTAAGAAACAATCTGTGATAACAAGATCCAGTGTTGAGGTTGAGTATAAGTCAATGACGCATATAACGAGTGAGTTGACTTGGTTGCTACACTTTCTCCAGTAAATTGAGTTTTCAGTTCAACCTCCTTTACAGTTGTTCTGCGACAACTAGACAGCTATCCATATCGCTGTCAATCCGGTGTTTCACGAGAGAACCAAACATATTGAGGTTGATTGTCACTTTATTCGGGATAAGATAATAGCTGGGGAGATTACAACTCTATCTATGAAATTTGAAGATCAACTTGCAGATATGTTTACCGAAGTATTGAGTCGTACACATCTTACGGAGATTTGTTCCAACCTTGGATTATATGATATATATAGTCCAGTTTGAGGGAGAGTGTAAAGAGTATTAGGGTAGCATATGTAAATTGTTAAAAGTGTTAGGGTATTATGTGTAAATACAAGAGGGTGTGTATGTATAATTCTTATTATTATAAGTTACCTATAAATACAAGTGATGTATGAGGGGTAGGNTATTAGGGTAGCATATGTAAATTGTTAAAAGTGTTAGGGTATTATGTGTAAATACAAAAGGGTGTGTATGTATAATTCTTATTATTATGAGTTACCTATAAATACAAGTGATGTATGAGGGGTAGGTTAAGTTGTTAACCTCTCTCTTTCTCTCTGATATTGTTTATAATGTTGTGTTATGTTAATTCTCTCGATCTAACAGATATTAACAAGCTGGTATGAATTTGGAAGCGTTGGAAGGCCTTATCTATGATGTTATATTTTTATAATGTGAGAATGCAATGTGAAAAATCATTATTTTGTGGTTAGGTTTCTCGCATGAACTTAGTTTTACCCTCTAGTAAATGTGAATTTATGCTTATTAAAGAAAGTACA